AACTACTCTCTCATTCATCATGGTTTCTGTTTCAGTCTTCTGTCTGCCTTTTTCACTGTCTCCCTCTTCTAGTAATAATCATGTCTCGTATGTCACAGTGGAAATCAGACACCAGATGGGAAGTCACGTATGTTCATAAGGGAGAATATGTTTCATCTTCTGCTTGATGTTCTGAGATATTTTATACTGACCTATCTAGAAAGATTTGTTTTGGGTCATGGTATCAGATGTGGTAGGACAAAACTTCACCTTGTGATAGCCCGAAAGCAGAAGGCTATAGGAAGGCTCAGGATCTCAATGTCCTTTCAAGAGTGTTCCTCTAATGACACCTTTATCTGATTAAAGAAGGTCTGTTCTTTGTCTGACCCACACAGATTGTATATTGTGTATCTATCATGTACATGCATATATGTATATAATCTCATATACACGTGAGTATACAATATTATTACTTATATGTATAAGAATCTGTACATATATAATAGAGAATGGGTGTCCTAGTTAGCTTCAGCTGTCAGACATAGCCAGAGTCATTGGGAGTTGCCCATATCCGATTGTCTTGTGGCTTATTTGTAGCAGATTGTCTTGATAGATAGATGATTGATAGCTGTGAGGGTGCAGCCTACTGAAGGCGGCAGCGTCCCTGAGCAGATGGGGCGGCGCTATAAGAAAGCTGGCTGTTCACAGCCAGAGAGCGAGCCTGCAAGTAGTAGTCCTCCATGATTCCTCCTGAGGAGCCATGCCTTGAGTTCCCACCTGCGCCCTGCCAGTGTAAGCCTGTAAGCCATTGCTTTCCAAGTCGCCTTTGGTCACGGTGTTTACATAGCAACAGAAAACAAATTAGAACACTGGAGAATCTATTCAAAGTTACTTTTACAGCGATGAGTTTTGAATGTTAAACCAATATTTCACATCTAGGAAAAGCTCAGCTTAGTTGGGAAATGCCATTTTGCATCCTTTATGTAGAAGTGAGTTTAGTTTGCTGAAGTTTTCCTATATATTTAGATTTTTATGACATTTTCTTTGACTAATGTCTTCTAATATTTTGTTTTCAAATGTTTGTGTGTGTGTGTGTGTGTGTGTGTGTGTGTGTGTGTGTGTTTTAGTTTAATTTCATTGAGATGAGAATGTATTTTGAAAGACTTTCATTCTTAAAATTTTTGGACTTGACATATGAGCCACTGGTAAATATCCTGTTGATTTTGAAGAATGTATTTGCTGTACTTACTGCTTACATTCTTCTCCCAATCCTCAAACATTGCACAGTTTTAGACAAAGTTGGTCACTATGTGGGTCAGTATTATTTATTTTTATTGATTATCTTTTAATCTGTTAGTTATAGCTAAACATTTAAAGTATCTCACTGGGTCTGTGTATTTCCTGCCAGTCTACCAAATTTCATTTTAAATACATAAATTCTGTACTTTAACATGGTGATTTTAGGATTTTTTTTCTATGACAGTTATTTGGTGTCTTTATAAACTTCCTTCTTGAGTTTGTCAGGCATTAGTTTTGTTCATCCCTTAATTCTTACTAGCATATATATGACATACTTTTCCTAATAATCTTAAGCGTCTCCATACTTATATGTAAGGACTTTGCTAGAATAATTGAGGTTTTGCTAATCAACTCTAACAATTTTGTTTTCTGCTGTAGTTTCTTTATAGACTGAGGTATCCGCTGATATATTTGGTTTTCTGTTTGTCACTTGTTTCTGTGGTTTTTGTCACACAGATCATTTTCTCACTTTGTTTCAGATCTTCCTGGTCAACACTTTGTGTTCACTTGTTGGTTTGAAGTTGTGCTCTTCTCAGTTTCTCTAGACATTATATTTGTCCATGACTTAATACACTGTAATGTAAGACTATTACTTTGTAAATTCCAATAAGTATTGGAATATGTCATACTGTTGGTCACCCATTTCTAGACTCTTAGCTGTATTTTTAAATGTATTTTAATTCTACATATAATTAGAATTCCATCATTATTATGGTTATTCTTTGCCGTTAACTGTTTGGATACTGAGGATAAAACCTGTAATAACAAACATTGGTCCCTCAGGTCCGTTTCCCGAGCAGCAGCTGTCTGTCAAGGTCACTGAGCAGCAGAAGATACTGGCACTGACCACAGCAGGAAGATCCGGGACTCTGCCAGACAGATCTTAGGGTCCCTGTGTTTTATCAGTAGGGTGCAATGTCAGTGGTCTTGAGTCTAACACTAGTTTGCAGCCATTTTTTACATCTTTGCCGCCCTCTTTTGTTCATTATTCACAACGTGATCTGTTGGTTAAGTTTGCTCATGAGTGATTTCAAACCATCCATAATACACATTTCTTTGATTGGAGAAAGTGACGTAGGCTTTTTTCCCCTCATGACTTAAAAATAAACTTATAAACAGAAAGTAGCTAATACATATAAAAGTAGAATAATGTAAATTATTCTTGGTTTTGGAATTAGGATTTTGTTGTTACTGTTTTTCATTTCAAATTGCGAAAGCTTACTCAAAGGACTGAAGCAGATGGTGTAATCCTGTCACTAGGGAGACAGGAGGCAGGGGGACCACAAGTTCAAGGTCAAGTGAAGTTACATAATAAGATCTTGTCTCAAAAAAAAAAAGAGAGAGAAAAGAAAAGAAAGAAAAAATAATTCTCAGAAATTTGAGAGCAAAAGTAGTAAGATTGACTTTAGGATCACAGTGTCCAGAATCTCAAATACTGTAATTATACTTTGTCTGTCTGTCCCTGCCTCTGTCCTCTGTCACCTTTGTCTGAAGATACTAATGTGACCTTTTCCGTTACTCAGAAGGTGCAGCTAAAGTAACTCACATACTGTGCTAACAGAGTTCAACAGACAGTATAGAAGTGCTCGTAGTAGGTGGCTTAATTTGTATCTCAAACTTTAGCAATAGAGTCCAGGAAATGTACTATATAGCTTTCCCTCTTCTACCATCACAGGAGAAGGGAAAGGTGTGGGGCATTCACTGTATGCTCCACCTCAGGCATGCTACCATTGTTCATATAAATGAAAACACAGCTTTGAACCAAAAAGAGACACCCCAGATACCATCCATCCCTTTTGTCAGTCTCTAGATATTGTTCATGTCATTTCCTCATGATACTCACCATGATTTCTTGAGTTCTGGTAAGTTGAAGCTTCCATAATCATACCTTATGTAAAATTATTGAGGGAAGCAGAAAAGGACCTTGGTATTTATATACATAAGCAAATAAGTACATACACACAAAACTGAGAAAGTACTATTTATAGGTAGCTAAAATAGTCATCTTGTTTGGGAATTGCTGTTATATTTATAACTTAATCATTGAGCCTATGTTCCCACCAACAGTGTATAAGATAGAAAGGGTGCTTTGTCATAGTAGTAGTTCAGACAGTTACTCTTAAATCATCAAGAACTTGGTAGTGTTTCCTGATAAATCCATCTTAAGCTGAAAATATTTTAAGTAAGAATGTGTTGAGCACTGTGATCACTTAGCAACACAATGTATGAGTATCATGTGGTGGATTGGAAGCAGGACCTCACTTCCATTACCCAGTATCTCAAGAACGTATCTTAATGCATATTGCCAGCCTGGAAAACAATGAAAATTCAAAATGTAAAGTATCAGTTTCTACTGAGTGTGTGTTCCTTTTACACCCTTATAATTTGTACCTTGGTAAATCAAAGATGGTGCCTCACTGCTGAGTTACCCAAAGATAGGGCCTCCTCTATCCTACTATTTCAGTGAAGTGAGGCATCCAGAACACCCAGGTGGCACTCTCAACTTTGTGTCAAGGAATTTATTATGTCTCCATGATAGAAGCCATCTCTTCGGAGGACTCAGCTTTATAAAACATCAGAGCGCATAATTACAGGGCAGAAAACACTTTTTTTCAGTGGATAAGTGTATTTGGTGCTATATTCCAGTGACTCTAACATGCATTTTTTTTTAGCCTTAGGTGTTTTGGTATTAGACTGCTTTCTAAACCTCAGTTTCATAGATATGGTCAACCAAGGCATCTGTGACAGACTTGTCATTGTTGTATACACAGATACTGAATCAGTATCCACAGCTAGGAAGAAAACATAGGAAGTGCTAATAAAGCCGTGCAAGAAAAACTTCAGCAGAAAAAAAAGAAAGAAAGAAAGAAAGAAAGAAAGAAAGAAAGAAAGAAAGAAAGAAAGAAAGAAAGAAAGAAAGAAAAGAAAAACTTTAACACTGAAGGTTTATAATAGTTTTATGTCATAAAAGATAATAAATGATGATGTAAAAACTTAGTAATGACTGAGGCACAGAGTGATTCAAAAATTAGATTTTGAATGTAAAGGGATTTGGTGAATTCTTGAGTATTTTTGTTGAATGTTTTTTCATTGTATATTCTAGAGCAATATAAAAGTTATATCAAAGTCTAAAGAGTTCTCAGTAACTGGCTATAAAATTGGAATTAATAAATCACACCATGGTTAAATCACTAGACTCTGTTTTCTCTTAGCAGTGCATGAAGTAATAATTCTTAGAATTTCCAATCTTAACTTTAGTGAATGAGTATCTGCCATTTCCATCTCCACCCTGTAGTCCCCAGATGTATTTTTGCATTTGAAGAAACATCACTATTTTCTGGTCTTTGGTAAGTTTCTTTCTTATGTGAGTTTCAAGATTTCAGAGCATGTCAGAATTTTTTGGTAATAACTTGTTTTAAATTAATTTTGAATTATAGTGTTCATTAATCCTTATCTTTGTTGTTCTACTGACCATTGAGGTTTGTGTATCTTTGTCATTGTTAATCATCTGTGTCTGTTATCAAAAAATATAAAGATGTTGTTCTAACATGTTCATATTATTTTTCTTAAATTGAATATGTAACCAAGTGTGTATTCTGTTTGGAATTTTGCCCTACTTAATGCTTTGATATGATCTGCAAACTTCTTATGATTAGCTTTTCTATGTAAGAATATTGATGGTTTATTGATCTGTGGCTCATCTTTAATAATCTGACATTTCATTGTGTTTTTAATTTAAACTTTTATTTGAGTGTTTTAATATGTAAATTATACCCATGCACATTCAAATTAGGCCTTGGTAACTTATACTTTTCATCAGCAGTTCCAAAGCATCTTCTCAGTTAGAGCTCAAATAACCTCTTCCATCTCAGTTCCCCTGCAGAATGCTTTAGCTCTTCCCTTTGTACCTGAAAGAATGGACAGTGGGAAGCAGAGAAGTCCAGTTAAGTATTGTGTGTTACCGGGAACTACTTTGAAAACAGTGCTAGAGTTAGAGGAGACCTGAAGTTTCTTCTTGAGTTGTCTCTGCACCAGTGTTTCTGTCTTCCTTGTAGAGGCAGCCTCTCCTCTGGCTGCCCTCCCTCTATCTCCACATGACACACGTGTCTCTCCCTGTGACTGCAAGTGGGCCCTACCAGCTCTTTGATTCCACCACTAGGAATAGACTGCTTTGCCCTCCATGTAGTGCTTAAGTCTGATACATTTGATGAATCCCCTAACACAGGCCCTGGCTCCTGTGGCTCTGGAGGTCACCATTGCCCTTTGGAGTCCTCATGTGAGACCTGTTGAAGCACCTGCTCCCCTAAATACTGCTGCAGACCTCACAACCACCCCTGTCTAGTTAAGGTTTCTATTGCTGTAAAAAGACACCCATGACCACAGCACCTCTTGTAAAGGAAAACATTTAATGGGGGTGGCTTACTTACAGGTAAGAGGTTTAGTTCATTCTCATCATGATGGGACATGGTGCTGGGGAAGGAGCACATCTTGATCCCACAGGCAGCAGGAAGTAGTCTGAAACACTAGGTGTGGCTTCAGCATATATGAGACCTCAAAGCCCACCCCCATAGTGACATACTTCCTCCAAAAAGGCCACACCTACTCCAAAAAGGCCACACCTTCTAGTAGTGCCACTCCCTATGAGCTTATGGGGTCCAGTTACATTCAAACTACCACAACCCCCCACTAGCTGTTTCCTTCTGGACCCTTCAGTCTGGCCTTCTTATATAAACTAACTGCTGTTGGCAGGTCTAGTTTTAAATTCTCCCAGTTTGTCTCTAGGTGGTTCCATCCCTACCTGAGAGCTGTTAGCACCCGTGTTTTATTTTCAGATGAAAAAATTCCGTGAACTACTTTAATGCACACTAGTGTCTTAAGTATCTGTTCATTGATTTTCAGTCTTAGTTTTCACCTTGATGTTTGCTATTGATCAAAAGCGTCTAGTGTTTGTGTGTTCTAGGCCCTGTAGTAGGAATCAGCATGCAAAGACAGATAGTCAAGTGGTATTTGAAGAAAAATACAGTTAACCTTATTAAAACACTCAATATAAAATCAACTTTTCTTAATAGTAGGAAATTTTATAAAGGATTTCACCTTGCTCTTGCTCATACCCACTGTCGGCCTTACCAAGTACAATATGTAGTAATTCACCAAGGAGTTTTTAGTGAGTTCAAATGCAGTGTTGGAATGATATGAAGGATGTGAGAGGGCCTTATTTTTCTTAGCATTGTGTAAATAGGTTTCTGGGAACAGGAAAATGGAGATTAGCCTTTTGATAGGATGCTCTGTGTGAGAGTTTTATAACCTGATTTGTGTATATCAAATAATGTTCTTGTGTATTCCTAGCATATCATCTGGATAAGGGTCTAAAATTGTGTTTTTCATCTGTTGTTCAAACCTACAGAAATGACAAAAGAATTTTTGTGGATTTGAATTTCAGTTCTTCATAGCCCCATTCTGCCACCTTCTGGTTGACTCCATTTCTTATACTGCTGTGAGCTAAGTGTCATCTAATTATTCCTACCATGGTACCAGGTTTTTTATTTGGGGGCTGAGATTCTTCAGATGGGGTCAGTTTAAGGTATAACCTCGTTCTCACTGTGAGCCTCAGAGCCTCAGACTCACTTATTTCTTGGTTGTAAAATGTGCTAGAGGGTTTGGGAAGAGAATATATGGTAACATGTGGGGCTGCTTATAGTACAGTATATGCTCATAACTACTTTTGATGTTTCCATAATCCCAAAGTTCCTTCAGGTGTCACCTGATATGAAAACCATGTCAAGTTGGTAGCCATTTATCACAGTCTCAATAAGAAAATAACTTGGAAATAACATAGAAATGAAAATTAGTAAAGTCATTATAGCCTTCTAGAGAAACTAACGTGGTCATTTTTTTTTTTTTTTGAGACAGGGTTTCTCTGTGTAGCTTTGCGCCTTTCCTGGAACTCACTTGGTAGCCCAGGCTGGCCTCGAACTCACAGAGATCTGCCTGCCTCTGCTTCCCGAGTGCTGGGATTAAAGGCGTGCGCCACCACCGCCCGGCCAACATGTTCATTTCTTGTACGAACTTTAAAATAAAATGAGAATAAACTTAGAAAATCTTAGTGCTTTTTATCCCTAGTTTCATGGCATGTTAATGTGTTTTCACATTTCCAAAGTATTTCCAAGTTACTAAAACATTTGGGGAAAGAAAAGCTGGGGGCTTAGCTTTGTGACTAGAGAACCTACCTAGCAAGTGGGTGACATAGACTTTGTGATTAGAGTACTTACCTAGCAAGTGGGTGACATAGACTCAGTCTTCAGTCTCCAACCAAAAAGAAAAGAAAACTTTTGAAAATGCTGTTTATTTAAAATAAATTGAAAATAGTGGAATTCCTAGTACCCTAAAGTAGTTGAAAATATATATGCTATAGTAAGGACTAATAAATGTCCTTTGGGAGCTGAACAGATAGTTTACTCTATCAAGTTTGAGGACATGATTTCAATCCCCAGAATGAATTAAAAAACAAACAAACAAACAAAATAGGGCATGGTGATACATGCTTTTAATCCTAACTTAGTGGCTGGCCAGTCAACCTAGCCTGCTTGGATAGTTCCAGGCCACTGAAAGACCTTCCTGTGAGTGACACTGGAGATTATTTCTTGGCCATCACATGTACACACACATATGTGTACACGTACACACACACATGTATACACACACAAACTTGCACTACCAGTCAAATACCTAAGTCTAAAGCTCGCCCTTAGGCCCATTGTCAGGAGCTCTCCTCTGCTGCCTTGTTTCACTAGTGCTGCAGGGGTTTGGGGAGAGAAATTTTCCTTTCACTTCTGTTTCGGGTATTTAGAGAACCCCTCCATGGTGCTCTCTGGCCATAGTCTTGGCTGTTGAGTAGGTAAATGAGCTATAGAATTTTCTCACCAATGTGAAGTGCTTTAAAATGTTTGATGAAGATAATCCTGTGTCTGCCATAATCTAGAGTTTCAACTTTCCATACTTTATTGTTCTGATGCTAGAATCTCGTTTTCCCAACTCCTCTCACTTCATTGCATTCTTGATTGTTCCCAGGCTTGGAAATGACTTCTTGCCATGTAATTGCTCTTCTGCTTCCAATGAAGAACATTTTCCAGTTAAAAGCCAATGTGATCAGCTCAGGGCATCTGAATAATTCGTCTGTTTTAGGGTCACTTGTCAGTCACCTTAATTTCATCTGCAAAAGCTTTTTGCCAAGCATTGTAACATACTGACAGGTTCCAGGGGGTTGGTGGAACTAGTGGAAGAGCGGAACATCCTACTTTCCAGAAGTGTGCTGTTTAAATCCCAAGTATGACTTTGAATCAAAGCAAGAAATTGAATTTACAAACATGGGTTAGGAAAGGACATGTTCAGATATGGCAGATCTGTTCATACTGTTGTTTTAAGATATGAGTAGGTGAATTGGACTAGATGGAGGCCTGCTGGAGGTTGGTGACAATGCTTGATTATTGTGCTTGGATTTTGGAGGCCATTGGAAGTCACTCGAGTTTTCCCTTGGAATGAGAGAATATTAAACAAGATTATAAACTGTTTTTAGACTACTGTACTTCGAGATTTATTGTTGTCTGTTATGCTAGGCATTAAGGAGCTGAAAACTATCGCTTCTCGGCCTTTTGGCTAAGATCAAGTGTAGGAGCTGAAAACTATAGAGAGTGATCGTGAAAATTTTTTTAGTTGAAAAGTCTCTTGCATGTTAAATAGTAATTCTTCACTAGTAACAGCATTACCTTTGCTCAGAGTGGTTGCAATAGAATTTATATAAAATTACATTTTGAAAGGAATATATTTGTGTAACTTTTTTAAAAAGAGATTTTGTTGCATATGTGTGAATATTTATATGCATGAGTACCATGTGTGTGCCTAATTCCCACAGAGGCCAGAAGAGGGCATCAGAGTTACAGGCATTTGTGAGCTGCCCTTGAGTTCTAGAAGCCAAACCTGGGTCATTTGCAAGGACTTTTAACCACCTGCCCTCTCCAAGCCTATGTGTGCAACTTCCTGTACATAGCCTGTGACAAAAACACTGCCACTTGATTGGATTTATTTTCAAAAGTATGTATGTTAATTCTACACGGAAATCATACTGAAAGTTGAGAATTTCTAATTTTTTTATTTCTAAATCAGTTACCAATTTACTAAAAGAAAAGATGAGATTGGCTTCTAGTGTTGATTAATAAGATGAAGTAAGTTCACATCATCCTGTGTCTCCCACCAGAATATATATAGTAGCTATGGAAACACTTTGAAGAGTAAATGACAGCAGGCAATTGGGCAGGGAAATGAAACATGCCTGGAAAGAGACAGGTATGGTGGTGAATTTCGTGGTTTTAAAATCTTCCCACCCACAAACACACCTTCCAGTTTATACTCTAGGCAACCTGGTCCCAGCTCTGTGCAGCGGGTTTCTACAGAATCCACTCCAGAAAAAAGGGAAGGATAGGGTGAATGAAGTATTGTATGGTACTTTTCTTCTGATCTCACCTCAAGCGAGGCGCACACTGAAACACATGATTGAAACGTCTGTCTGGAGTAGCAGTGCACAAGTGTGTAAAACAAAGAGAATGGAGTTAACACAGGACTCAGTGCAGTAGAGGACATTTGTTATTGCCAATAATGGAAAAATAATGCAAACAGGGAGAGACTCTTAAGAACTGTGATTCATTGTAAAAAGTTGTAACATATTTGGGCACCAGTGTCTGCAAGGGAAGATGGCTAAGCACGGATCCAAGTTTGTGCTGTCCGTATGTCTGGTTAAGATCTGAAATATATGCCTTACGTTCATGTGTTAAAGGCTTGTTTTCAATGTCACCATATTGGGAGGTGAGTGGATCATGAGGGCTACGACCTCACCAATGGATTGATGAGTTCATAGTTTAGTATGCTGTTGGGAAGTGATGAAAACTTTAGGAGTTGGACCTTAGGAACTAAGAAATTAGGGGATTGCTTTTAAAGGGTATATTTTCCCCAGTCCCACTACACCCCTCAAATCTTTCTTTCCTTCCTGGCTACCATAAGTTGGTTTTGATCCACCATGTCCCACACCTAGATGTTCTCCCTGACCTCAGGCATAAAAGCACTGGACCCAACTGTCTCTAATTGAACCCCCCTAAAACCATGAATCTGTATATGTTCCTTTTTTATATAATATATTCCATATATGTATATACATACACATACACACACTTATTCCTTTACATTGCTTATCTCAGTAATCACTGAGTAATCTGTGACCTCTTTATATCTGATCATTTTTAACACCTTTAGTGATGGAATATGGACTAACATAGCACCTTACTAAAAGAGAGCGATAAGATGTTTTTTTGAAACTGAACTTACATTAGTTAAAGATGTAAATTGAGAAATCTAAATCAGCCAGTGCGAAATCTTTCTAAAAATTGGAGAAATCGTGTTGAGAGGATAATGAATGAAATTATGTGAAATTAAAGTTA